GAGAGAGAGAGAGAGAGAGAGAGAGAGAGAGAGAGAGAGAGAGAGAGAGAGAGAGAGAGAGAGAGAGAGAGAGAGAGAGATGAAGGCGACTGGCTGTGTCAGTGGTGGAAGGGGTAGAAGTGAAATAGGGATTCGGGAACGGGCCAGCGCAGGAGATGGACCCTTAGAGAGGCGACGTGGACGAGCTTAGAGAGAGAGAGAGAGAGAGGATTGCGGAGGAAACAGGTGACTGCGAGAGCAAAGTAGAACGGACGGGTTTGGGGAGAAGATTGGATGAATCCTAATTAAGCCGATGATTAGGGGATAAGGACTCTGCAAGGAGGAGGAGGAGTGTAGGGGAGGGGAGGGGAATTTTTCATGGGTGGGGGAGTTGCAGTAAGCGGGGAGCGTTGAAGTCATAGCGAAAGGAGGATGTATAAGCGGCCGAGAGTTGAGGTGGTTAGGGGGAAGTGGGAGAAGGGGATCAATCCACGTGTGAATTGACTGATTAATTACTGCTACTCGTTAATTAGTATTACTGTTAATCGATATAAATTCATGTGATGTCCTCTGTGGAAAGGCTTATTTGAAGCTGACACAAGGAACTTGGTACTGTTGGATATAATAGTAAATCTGTTTAATTAATGTTCTATTGTGAGGTCGATGATTAGATCGATCCTCCTCCCCCTTTCTCCTCCTCCTTTCTCCTCGTCCTCCCTCTACCCCTCACCCTACTCCCCATTCTCCTTCCACTCCTCTTCACTGTTCTCAGCTCGATAACTGGATCATCCTCCCCTTCTCCTCCTCCTCCCTTTTTTCCTCCTCCTCACCCTACTCCCCACACTTCTCCCCCTACTTCTCCATCTCCTTCCACTGTTGTCGTATCTTTTCTTCCTTCCACCCCTACTCCGCCTTTCTCCTCTTCCCCCTCCTCTTGCCCCTCCTGCCTCCACCCGCCCCACTCGTGCCTTTCTTAATCACGTTGATGGATGGATAACCATCGCCGCACAGATCCTAACGGGATTGGGAATTACGTTAATGAAGAGATAACCATCGCGGCACAGATTCTGACGGGATTGGGATCGAAGACACCAGTATCTGGATGGTTGCTGTGGTCCCACCGGTCCCACCTGTCCTAACGGTCCTAACGGTCCTAACGGCCCTGACGGTCCTAACGGTCCCACCGGTCCCACCGGTCCCACTGGTCCTAACGGTCCCACCTGTAAGATAGAAGATAGTTTAATTAAGAGAAGAGTATTAAGCATTCTCCTCATTTTCATAGCAACGAAAGGATCGCCCTCAGAAACGAACCAATGGGATCTTCGCAGGGTTGAAGGCAAAAGAAGAAGAAAAAGTCCTCTTGCACACTAGGGGCTGCGTCTTTTTTTTTTTTTTTTTTT